GACGATTGAGGAGGATGCGAGTGATCATCTTCCCGACGATGTTCAGCAAGGAGATGCCGCGGTGATTGTCGCAGACATGGCGGTTCCCTTTTCGCTTGTATAGGTGCACGATTGTTGCGTCTTTGAAATCTTGCGGGACTTCGCCTTGACGCCACATCTCCTGGAAGAGCGCAGTCAGGTGATCCATGAGTTGTGGACCGCCGTGCTTGTATACTTCATCAGGGATTGCGTCCGATCTGGGTGCTTTCCCGCTGGAGAGCTGCTGCACGGCCCTGATGGTCTCCTGGAGAGATGACGGGAGGTCGAGTTCCACTTGCGGCAAACGGACGATGGCTGCGTCTCCGGTGAGGCTGTATGCGAATACGCCTCATCGAGATGACGGGGCGATGGTCGCTCCACCCGTCAGCACCCACGATCTGCTTTGTCACTAGCTCGTCCCTCTGGTCTCGCTTCCGTACGAAGACATAATTTAACAGGCGCCACTTACGTGACCGGGGATGCATCCAGGTGACATGCTCTCGCTGCGACATACAGAAGAATGTGTTCGTCAGGATGAGGCGATGTTCTGCGCAGGTGGGGAGGAGCAGCAGTTCATTGTCGTTTTAGCCGCGGAGACCATGTGGACCCAGCACTCCTCTCCAGGCTGCATGTTCTGTGCCGACGCGGGCGTTGAAGTCACCAAGGACAATCAACATGTCCGCCTTCGACACAGTCTCCAAGAAGGCGTGCAGGTCTTCGTAAAATTTGTCTCTTGCGTCGTCGGGGCTAGTCATTGGCGGAGCGTAGGCGCTGATGATGGGGGCGAATTCGCCCCCATACCGGAGAGGCAGACGGAGGCTCATCAGGCGATCGTCGATGTCCTGCGGCAACCAGGGCAGTGATCCCACGATGTCGTTCAAGATGGCGAAGGCGACGCCCGCAATTCCTTGCTCTGTCTTGCGTCGGTTGCTCTAAAAGAATGTGTAACCGGCAGTCCCCTCCTCTATTTGGCCTTGTTCGGAGAATCGGGTCTCTCTGAGTGCGGCGATGTCCACTTTGTATCGCACCACTTCCCGATCCACTAGCGCTGTTCTCCGTTCCGGTCTGTTGCTCTTTGGATTATCTAAAAGGGAACGAACCTTTCAGGCTGGCAGTCTGGGCCAACTCACCCTATCCCCCTCTGGGGTGGAGCGGCGGGCGATGGAACAGGGAGAGTGTGTGTGGTTTCTTATTTGGTTGTTTTGACCGCGTGTGTAACAGTCTGAGAGCCACAGTCTGCGCGCTGATGTCGTGAACCCAGCATTTGCTTAAGGTGCCCTTTTGGCCCCCTCACCATCGTGGGGGCAAATCGTTCTCTCCCTAAATAGGACTGTTCATTTGCACCAGACGGCTGCCGCTCTGGGCTATGGGTCACTGATTTTAATTAGAGAACCACCCATTGGCCTGGGCCGCCTACGTGATTGCATGTTGCCCTCGCTGCAGGTCCTTCCGACCTTACGGGAGAATAATAGTCTAAAGAGTAAACAGTGTGGCGAGATGGGAGGGACGAGAGGGAGAGGAAGGAGGGGTGGAAGGATGGGCCTGATGGGGAGGTGAAGAGGAGAGGAGAAGGGGGGAGATGGGGGAAGAGAATGGCGGAGGGGAAGGGAGAACGGAGCAGAGTTTCCGTGCCTTGGTATACACACATGGATACCATCACCTGGTTTAACCCACCGGCCAAGGCGATTACCGGAATGTGGCCGCTTGGCAGAGCCTAGCTTCGATGGGCCACAGAAAGAGTTGTGTGCCAGTTAGTGAACGCTAGGCGTAGTCTACACCTGCAATCAAGTGAACGACCTACGACGACCGTCACGTGGCCCCACCACTGGACACCCCTATACCCTGCATAACAATACACCAACTATGTGTCTAACCGATCAATGTTATCTTAGAAAATTCGGTCTTCCCCGAGACACTACATGGTCTGCATGTCGTTGTAGCACCTCCTAACAATATCCCACAAACACCCGTCAAGTGCACCCAGAGGCTTTTAGGAGTGTAATATCATTTTACTCTCGGTCCACCTCCCTCACCAATGTAGCATACTACGAGGTATTAATAGATCTTGCCGAGCATATAGATTAGAAATCTGCAACAATGCCAAGATGTGTCAATAGAAGGTTGTCCTGCGGACATTAATACCTGTGTCATCGCTGTGCGATGGGCGCAATGTATTCTCATTTCAGTCAGTGGATGCGAGTTGCATTCCTTGGCCATTTGATTTGCTAGAGGATGGACTTGTTTCATCGTCCATCACAACCCTTATGGACCATTCACCATAACCGCACTGTTCCTCTGAGACAGTGCGTTAAGTCATTCCGCAAACAGAATTGTTTTGGTAGACATGTCAACCACCTCGTCACCACTGGGAAATTTAACAGAAAACCTTCAAAGCATTTTACGCATTCTCTTAACAGTGTAAATATGTCTAAACTGCCGGATGTATCAATAATGTATAATATCTGGGGCCCCGTAGCTCAGGTGGTTAGAGCGTTGGCTGCGCTAAAGCCTTCCCCTTACTGCGTGGGTTCGATTCGCACCGAGGCGCCGAGTTTTTCACAGTTGGGTCAATATGAATGGAATATCTGGTCTGTCATAGTCCTGCGCAAATGCTCATTGACAAATTTAGAAGCTAGTTTGGCAGATATACTTATTTTTTCACAATAAGTTATCATCAGGACAATATAGTTCGTGCGAAATTGCTTCTAAGTTAACAATTAAACAAGAAGCAATCCTGCCGGTTAAGATGGAGAGCAACGGGGAGTATTAATCGGTTTCGACTGTCTACAATAAAGAGTTCCTAGATCTAAACCCGGGCGACAGAATTAGTATTAGAGGCTTAACTGTGGCAGAGAGCATACACGGCGACGGTAAAAATTTCCCAACAACGCTGAGAACCGGCTTTTGTCCTCGTGATAGGTAGTGCTATATGTGAACGAATGCCTAAGCCATGGTTCCTAAGCCAAGCTGACCGGTCGAAGTCAGAGTAAGAACAAGGGTACTCGTCCGCTGGAATAGGCATTTTTCCTCGCAAGCTTTGAATCCGCTCTCGGACAGAGCATCTGAAATAGCAGCCGTCATAGGCAACGAGCGTGCGGGGAAAGCATTATTTATAGTGTGCGGT